GGCTTGGCAAATGGGACACCCAGGAAGGCGTGGACTCCGGTCTCTTTGCCCTTTACACTCACATACTCACCTCTCAGGCTCCCGAGCTTTGTGTGAACTTCAGGTGCTGTCAAGATATTAGAATCAGTCAGAATCATACTGTGACACTTCACAGTTCAGTACTTTCATGTTGCAGTGAAAAACTACCTGTAGCTCCTAAGTGACAAATGTCATTTTTCCAAATATCCACTGTTTGATTACAGTCAGAACCAGTGGTGAAAGAAGTCTTCAGATCCTTTTTTTAATTAAAGTAGTAATATGACAATGCAAAAACACTCCATTTCAAGTAAAAGTCCTGCATGAAAAATCCAACTTAAGTACATAAATATTAGCAAAATGTATTTAGTCAATTAAGGTAAAGAACTGGTTTGGTTACTCTGAATATACCTATAAATCACATGATCAGATTATTATTAATAATGTTCAGGGACACCACGTAAATGTGAGATGTCATGAGATGATTATTCTGAAAAACTAAAACTAAATTATGAAACAAAAGTTGTTTTCAAGTTGTGGATTTTTCTCTAATCTTAGATTTTTGGTGAGATGTTGGATAATTTGAAGATTTTTTTGGGGGGGGGGGAAACTTGTGAAAAGATTAAAGGGGAAAAAATTTTTGGTGGAGCTTTTAGCAAATAGGACTGAATAGGAAGCCGGTAAGAACAATTTGAAGGTAATATTGTTTGACTTAAATGTCGTTAAAAACAAGTAATTAAAAACTATCATGGTATAGAGTGAAGAGATGTGGTGGTTTCATAGCTCACCGTTCTCCATATTCTCATTATGTTGTCGGATCTTCTCTGGGAGGGTCTGAGTCATAAACACAAACCGGTCCTTCTTCAGGGCTCGACCAACTACCTGATCCTTTAAACCAATTGCCAGATACTCCTCTTCTGCTCCATACTTTGGCCAATGGGCAAGGCCATCCCCGTTAGGAGACCTACACACACATACACAGTTATAAACAAGTTGGTGTTATCTCCATGTATACTATCACTTACAATGAGCAGTAATTCCTACCCTGTGCGAGCAAAGTTGCCCCAGTAGCTCATCACGGTTCTGCTCAATTCTTCCTCCTCTTCAGGGCATGGATCTAAAATGACGATAATCTGGTAAAACATTTTGCTTTCCAGAAAATCCAAAGACACCTGAGGCATCTGGTGTTCTGTTGCACTTACCAGTTAATTGGAATTGGGTAGTTGTGAAGCAGATTCCAAACACTATAAACACTTCATCTCCATGGTCACTCCTAACAAAGCTAGGCCTGCTTTTCTTCAGGAATGAAGGAGGATGCTGGTACTCATACAGGTAGACAGTGGCGCCTGCGTCTAGTAGTAGACAAATAGATGTGATATTTAGTATGTGACATGTATGTTAATGTTAAATACTGCTTCCTGGACAGATTTTCATAATCTTGCATGACAATTTTAAAAAAAAATAAAAAATACCTTTGTGACCATTAGCAACTTTAATAGCAGGAATGTTAAAGATAAAATCTCCAATCATCTCAGTCAATCCATCTCTGTTTTTCACACGGTCTTCACCAGTTCTAATGTATTCATCTGTTATCATATCTATCTTCACTGCATCTTTGGGCTTGAAGAAATGAACAACACATCTGTTAATGAAGCTTGAACATGTTGAGGAACAGACGTATTCTAACATCAGGCAGAGTCTGTCTTACATCAGGGTAAAAGAGGGACATCATGTTCGTGAGCTGCTCCCGATCTATTCCTTCTGTCCAGTTTGGAGGAGCAAAGAACTAAAGAAAGACAGCAAGAAAGATTTAACATTTGCACACAAGCAAAGTGATCCCAAATTAAAGACTAGAAAATCACTGAGCTCTTGATTCATTTACATTTCTGTAAACATTTAACACCTACATGAGCAAGTATCCATCCTCCTTCATCATCATTAACACCAGTCATGAATGGTACAGTGAGGAGTTCATGTTTATGGAGCAGCTCATCCACAGGTTTCGTCAGGAAGCGTCCATCAACATTTGGATGAAATGTAAATATTTGATTCTTGAGAGAATAAAATGTGCAACAGGTCAGCGATTAAAAACCGTTATGTAAAAGAAGAAGACTTTAGGTTTACATTCATGTAATCTGTTCTCAACAATCTATATTAGTTTTGCACACAGTATCTCACCTCCCCAAGAGCCTTAATGGTGTCAATATCAAGGTTTCTCATGCAATCCGCAAACTTCTTGGTGCTTTCGATGCTACAGCCAGATGTTTTTCCAACCATCTGAGGAGAGATGTGAAGAATCAATGTCAACAATTTAGAAAAACAAATATGTTGTGTCATTCTCAGTATTGTATAAAATAAAAATAAGCACAGTGCTTATTAACCTCCATCACTGGTCCAGGATTATTTGACACAAGTAAATCCATTGCAGCTGTGCCACTCTCAGCAATGGCTCGGTGGAACAGGCCATCAGACAATGGTGAGAGGAGCTGTTAGAACAGATAGAAATAACTTTGCAATGACATAACTGCACAATCTGCAAGGGAAAAAAAAGCGAGAGAGAGAAAAAATGGCGTGTATTTGAAATAATTAACCTGCTAATTGATTCTTACCAGGAGAGATACACTCACTCCACCAGCTGACACCCCAAATATGGTCACTAGATCTGGGTTTCCTCCAAAGTTGTGAATGTGCTGCTGGACCCACCTCAGAGCTTCTATCTGATCCAGCATCCCAAAGTTCCCTGATAAATGCTCATCTCCAGTGCTGGATAGAACATAGAGTTAGAGTCGACCAGATCATGTTTACAGCAGTTGGTAAAAATGAGTCACCTTTGAATTAGTGGTCCCATGTGACACAAATCACATTCAAAGCCCTTGAACATAACCACAGGATGTAAAAAAAATTTAAAAAAAAAGTTTGCGTACACATCTAAAGACCACCTATATCATTCAGTTTCCAATGACTCCTATAACTCTTAACCATTGATGGAATCATGGAAGCTGTTACAAGTGTATGTAAACTTGTGTTCATGATTGTATCAACTGTTCATAGTTGGCAACTTGAGTCCATTTACCTGAGAAAGCCCAGAAGTCCCAAACGATACTGGATCGCAACCACGACCACATCCTGGTATGCAGTCAGAGCAGAACTGTCACCCATTGAAGCTGACCCCATACTGAAGCCCCCGCCGTGGATAGAGACCATGACCTGGTAAAGTCATGAAAGGGTTAATCTTTTCTTCAGAGTAACATTCTTACTTTATTCCTACTGAACTCATCACAGTTTCAGTTAAATGACTTTAAACAAAGACTTGAATTTTAAAACTGTTGGTGACATAAACAGAACACCAGATTGAGTTTCGAGGTAAGCCCGTTGCAATCTGGGACTAAATCGATCCATAATTATTCCTATTGACATTATGAATTCTTAAAACCAACTCCTCCAGGAAGACTATCAGAGCTTCCCCAAAGCTGAATCTCAGCAACTGAAAAGCATCACTCAAAATCTGCAGCAAAGAGTTCTTACTGGGAGCTTGGCATCTTTAGCTCTGTTTGCTGGAGTGTAGATGTTCAGGTAAAGACAGTCTTCTGAAATGTCTGGGATTTCTGAAAGTTTTATACCAAAGCTTTCAAACATATCCACAAAAAGTTCCACTGGCTGTTGAGTGCACCTGAAAAAGAGACATTTTTATCAATAAATATTGGAGGTAATTCCTTCGAGTGTGGTGTTCAAACACTGCAGCACATGTGTCTTACATGTTTGGCTGCTTGGTGGCGTCTCTCACTCCTTTCCATCCCTCTACAGGCCGAGGTGGAGCCAGTCTCAGAGAAGGACCTATGGGTGGCTTGGCAAATGGGACACCCAGGAAGGTGTGGACTCCGGTCTCTTTGCCCTTTACGCTCACATACTGACCTCTCAGACTCCCGAGCTTTGTGTGGACTTCAGGTGCTGTCAGGACATTAGCATCAGTCAGAATCATAATGTGACACTTCAGAATTCAGTAATTTAATTTCCAAATGACAAATACTAGGTGCTAAGTGACAATCATAGCTCTTGCGAATATGAAAATATCAAAATTGTGACCTCAACTTCAACTTTTGACCTTTAACCAATTACAGTTGTTGTCGGCAGGGCTCCAAGTCAACTTCCTGCCTCTAGATGAAGTGTTTGATAGTGTTGTGTATAAATATATTATATCATGTGTGAAGTATAGTCCTTAAGGTTTAAAATATAAAAGAAGTTACATATATGCACATAGTCATGAAATGTCTTCTTTTGAAGAAGTTGCTTGGGTCTTTTTCTTTTATGGTTTCACAGGACAAGCAATAGACGGAGGAAAAAAAGTCCATATAAGGATGCAACTATTCAGTGTGATGAAGATGGGCCCCAATCAGTTGTTTTACGACCTGAACATGCATCACGTGACTTAGTAGTAAAAAAGAAGGGTCAGAGGCAACAGGAGTAGTCTTGCTTTGTCTGATGCCAGGGAGAGTTTGACCCAGAGCTCTGTAATGCAATATTCAATGTGTAATTAAATTGATTGATTGAGACCGAACTGAATCCGATCTCATCTTTAGAAACGAACACGCAGAGAAAGACAGTAATTCTCCAATAATAGTAATGTGGGTGTTTTATCCTTATCTGCTTCTACCATAACTGATTATTTCTCCTGTATCTGATTGGCACAAAACTGAGTTATCTGAGTTGGAGGCTAAAACTGCAACGGTTAAGTCGTCCCTTGCCAGCTTCCTTGTAATGACAGCAGCACAGCCTCATGGGTCTGTGAGCAGTCCTCCATTGACGAGTAATCTGGTTTAAGCAGTCCACCGACTCCCTCTGCAGCTTTATCTCCTGCTTCTGATGGTCCTACTGCAATGGATTCCCTTCTGACACCCCTTGCCTCCTTACCCCAACGATCGGTACCTGTCCTAATACACCTTAGACATGAACTGCAGACGGCCAGCTTACCTCATATGGAACAATGAGGTTGGAGCAGTTGGTTGAGATGCGTAACTCAGGGAGTCCCGTGCGATTGGGTTTTTTGTTATGATAATTTGCTTCTGTTTGAAAGACATCTTTGTTTATTTATCTCTTTTCTTTCAGTTTTTTGGACTCAGGTGACACTGGTCCAGATTCCTCCCTATTCTGTGTCAGCTTGAATTAAAATTCCCATTGTACTCAAGTCTTTGTTATCTTTCACCTTTGGACACAGTGTGCATGTAGGTAAGAGGCAACTTTGATTCAAGCCAAAACCTGACAACAGTTAAGGTAGGACAGAAGGTTAACAATGCATTCAGTCCTATTTGATGCAGATTTTTAAAAGATATAGCTCTTATTCATTACTATGCTGTCATATCTACAGTTGATGAGTAATGTGAGTGTTGTCTCCAATGTCATCATGCAAAGAAAAAAGTTCACTTACCTTGCAGCTCTGCCGCAACTCCCACAAATAAAACAGAAAGTAGAAAGCAGAAAGTTTGTTTTGCACGGAGCCTCATGGTTTTCTTGGTGTGATCCTGCAAAGACGAAGCGTGCAGAGAAAAACGTCACCCTTTATAAAGCCTTCCCCTCGTAACTGTGATCGAGATAAAGCTGCATGTAAGATACAATTAAATCCGAAATATGAAGCAACAAGCAGACCTTGTGACCTATATCTACCACGTGGTTCACTTGTTTTTCAGGTCAAAAGCAAATAACATGTCATTGGTCAATACTTCAAAGCGTTTGGCAATGATTCTGTGTGTGTGAAAGGATTGTGAGAGATATAGTGCTACTAAAATAACTGCACTTGTAGATAACTGGCAATAAACTTTAAAGAAAGCAACTACAAGTACTGTCGGTCTACTTTACTTTGACCTATAACTGTAATTATGCTGCCTTTATGTTTTTGTGATCTCCTTTTAAAAAAGGATCAGGTGAGACGGCATCAGAGACAGGACCAGGTGAGGCGGTGTTGACCCCCTCAGGAGTGGCCAGGATGCATGACTGGTTGACCGGGATCTCTACGATGCTCAGCAGCAAGACCTCCAGGGTGCTGGGGAAGGTCAGGGTAAGGTCAAGATAGCTTCAGGTGGGAAGAGTAGTTAGAGTAGTGTGGTGATTGTCTAGACCAAGGGCTCTATCCAACAGAAAAGCTGATATGCTGATGTGGGTAGACTGGGAGCTGACTAATTCTAAAGTTGGCTGGGGAACTGCAGGCTGGTGGCTGATTGACTGGGTAGGTGGCATGGGGTACAAAAGCTAGGAAAGTGGCATGTCCATCCATCTATCATCTATACACCGCTTAATCCTCACTAGGGTCACAGGGGGCTGGAGCCTATCCCAGCTGACTTAGGGCGAAGGCAGGGGACACCCTGGACAGGTCACCAGTCTATCACAGGGCTACACTTAGAGACTGACAACCAAGAACACTCACATTCACACTTATGGACAATTTAGAATCACCAATTAACCTCAACATGTTTTTGGACCTTGTGGTGAGGAAGCCGGAGATCCTGGAGAGAACCCACGCTGCACGGGGAGAACATGGAGACTCCACGCAGAAAGATCGGGACGTGAACCGTGGATCTTCTAGCTGTGAGGCGGCGGTGCTAACCACCGAGCCACCTTGCAGTCCAAGTGACATGTCAAGAAAATTAAAAAACAAATTCAGTAAATGAGTTGATGGCTTTCACGCGGCTTGCCTGCGTACCAAAGACACTGCTGCCTCTCTGAGTCCTTTTTTGTGAGCCTTCTTCCATTCATCATACAAACAACGAACAACGCAAAGAATCCAAATTATCATAGGATTCATTGTCTTCAAAAACAAAGTAGTAGCCAGGTGGCTCTGGGGGAAAACAGATGACTGGGGAGGATTGGGATCCTGAGCAGAGGACATCTGATTGATCGGATTTGATAAGGTGGCCACCTGACTGGTTAGGAGGCTAATTTGACTGAGCAGGGTTTGATTCTAACTTGAAAAATCTTTGAGGGCTTGATCATGGTGGCAGAGCAGCATCCCCTGGCTGGCTACAGGGAGGCTGGCACTGAGTCAAAACTGGGCTCTGTGTCCGCTGGATTCACTTCTGGCCAGACTGTACTGTCATTCAGATCTGGGGACCCGAATGTAGACACAAGTGGAGACAGGTGGTAAATGCTCAAAAGATTTTATTAACAAAGACAGTAAATACATACTAATTTGAAAAGGGAGAAGTAAACAGGAGGAGAGAACTGAACAGGGACTAACCAAACCTAATTCAAAAAAAGAGCAAAACGACAAAAACCCAAGAAAAACTCTAAAAATTGAGGAGGGATCTGAGGAAAACTAAAGGGACAGACAGGCTCAGGGAAGGCAGACAGGAGACAGATTGGGGATCAGCGGCGGATAGGTATAGTAAATATTGAGAGGGAGAGAGAAAGAGACGGAGAGACAGAGGGAGTAGGAGCTCGGCAGGACCTGAGACTGAGGCTTGGGTTCTGACCCATATGCTAAGACTGACCTACCGAACAGCTCACATCAGACTTCAGGAAGCTTTTCAGCTTAAGTGTGCTTCTCAATAATTACAATAACAACAATAAACATTTAAAAAAAAAACACTGAAAGCAAAGTTTTTGTTACATCTGTTTATTGTTGCACCAGGTATTTTCCTGTCGATCACATTTTCATACAGGACAGCTGTTTTCAGTTATTATCACCTTAAAGGATGACCACATTTTTCACTGCTATTGTATGACACAAATGAACTTTTTTAGTCAGAAATTTTCATTTAATATTAGAATCCAGATCATTTACTAATTATATTAACACAGCAGTAGGTGGGTAAATACTCCCTTAAGTTATCTGCCTTCAAATGATGTCTTCTGGAGAAAAATGTACCCCCGCTAGGTTGTAGCTCCTCATGACTGCCACCAGACGCCTTTTTAAGTTCATTATGTTATTTTTTTTTTAAATCTGAATTTTATGCAATGGATCATAGTTTGCATTAGCCACAAAAAATAAAAAATGTGAGTTCTTCGATTTGTTAAAATCACAGGTTGGACACAGTATGTGTGAGGCAGTTTTGGCTGACTTCACTGTGGTTGCTGCTGATTGCTGACAAGTTTTGTGGTATTTTGCACAATGACAATAACGCCTCTATCTATCTACACAAGTGATCAAAAAAGTATAGAGTGAAGAGATGGGATTGTTTTATAGCTCGCTGTGCTCCACATTTTCATCATGTTGGATCATCTCTGGTAGGGTTTGAGTCATAAACACAAACCGGTCCTTGTTCAGGGCTCGACCAACTACCTGCTCCTTTAAACCAATTGCCAGATACTCCTCTGTTGCTCCATACTTTGGCCAATGGACAAGGCCATCCCCGTTAGGAGACCTACACACACATACACACAGTTATAAACAAGTTGGTGTTATCTCCACATATACTTTAACTTACAATGAGCAGTAATTCCTACCCCGTGCGAGCAAAGTTGCCCCAGTAGCTCATCATGGTTCTGCTAAACCGTTCCTCCTCTTCAGGGCATGGATCTAAAATGATGATAATCTGGTAAAACATTTTGCTCTCCAGAAAATCCAAAGACACCCGAAGTATCTGGTGCTCTGTTGCACTTACCAATTAACTCGAACTGGGTAGTTGTGAAGCACAATCCGAACACTATAAACATTTCATCTAGATGGTCAGTTCCAACAAAGCTAGGCCTGTTTTTCTTCAGGAATGAAGGAGGATGCTGGTACTCATACAGGTAGACAGTGGCGCCTGCGTCTAGTCGCAGACAAATAGATGTGATATTTAGTATGTGACAGTCATGTTAAATACTGCTTCCTGGACAAATTTTCACAATCTTGCATAAATAAATAAAAATTACCTCTGTGAGCATTAGCAACTTCAATAAGTGGAATGTTAAACATAAAATCTCCAATCATCTCAGTCATTCCATCTCTGTTCTTCACACGGTCTTCACCACTTCTAAAATAATAATCCATCATCAAATCTCTCTTGACTGCATCTTTGGGCTTGAAAAAATGAACAACACATCTGTCAAAGAAGCTTGAACATGTTGAGGAACAGACGTATTTTAACATCAGGCAGAGTCTGTCTTACATCAGGGTAGAAGGTAGATATCACATTCATGACCTGTTCCAGATCCATTCCTTCCGTCCAGTTTGGAGGAGCAAAGAACTAAAGAAAGACAGCAATAAAGATTTAACATTTGCACACAAGCAAAGTGATCCGAAATTAAAGACTGGAAAATCACTGAGCTCTTGATTCATTTACATTTCTGTAAACATTTAACACCTACATGAGCAAGCATCCATCCTCCTTCATCATCATTAACACCAGTCATGAATGGTACAGTGAGGAGTTCATGTTTATGGAGCAGCTCATCCACAGGTTTCGTCAGGAAGCGTCCATCAACATTTGGATGAAATGTAAATGTTTGATTCTTGAGAGAATAAAATGTGCGACAGGTCAGTGAATAAAAACCGTTATGTAAAAGAAGAAGACTTTAGGTTTACATTCATGTAATCTGTTCTCAACAATCTATATTAGTTTTGCAAACAGTATCTCACCTCCCCAAGAGCCTTAATGGTGTCAATATCAAGGTTTCTCATGCAATCCGCAAACTTCTTGGTGCTTTCGATGCTACAGCCAGATGTTTTTCCAACCATCTGAGGAGAGATGTGAAGAATCAATGTCAACAATTTAGAAAAACAAATATGTTATGACATTGTCAATAATGTACACACAAAAAAAGAAGAAGCACAGTGTTTATTAACCTGCGTCATTGGCAGAGGATTATCTGACACAAGATAATCCATTGCAGCTGTGCCGCTCTCAGCAATGGCATGGTGGAACAGGCCATCAGACAATGGTGAGAGGAGCTGTTAGAACAGATAGAAATAACTTTGCAATGACATAACTGATCAATCTGGAAAAAACAAACAACAAAAAAAAAGGGTATATTTAAAATACTTCTTCTGCTAATTGATTCTTACCAGGAGAGATACACTTATTCCACCAGCAGACTCCCCAAATATGGTCACTAAATCTGGGTTTCCTCCAAAGTCGTGAATGTGCTGCTGGACCCACCTCAGAGCTTCTACCTGATCCAGCATCCCAAAGTTCCCTGATAAATGTTCATCTCCAGTGCTGGATAGAACATAGAGTTAGTGTCGATCATGTTTACAGCAGCTGGTAAAAATGAGTCAACTTTGAACTCTTCGTCCCATGTGGCACAAATCACATTCAAAGTAGTAGAATATCCCCTGGTTTATACTAGCTGTTCGTAGCAGCTTCAGATTACCTGAGAAAGCCCAGAAGTCCCAAACGATACTGGATTACAACCACGACCACATCCTGGTAAGCAGTCAGAGCAGAACCATCATAGATTGAAGCTCCACCTGCACTGAAGCCCCCACCGTGGATCCAGACCATCACCTGATAAAGTAAGGAAAGGGGTTCATCTTAAAGCAACATTCTTACTTTTATCCTACTGAACTCATCACAAAATAGATTAAATTAGGTGACTTTAAACTAAATTGATGACATAAACAGGACATCAGTTTGAATTTAGAGGTAAACCCGTTGCAATCTGGGACTAAATAAAGCCATAATTATTCCTATTCCCGCTGGGAGTTCTTCAAAAGCATTAAAACCAACTCCTCCAGGAAGACTGTCAGAGCTTTCCCAAAGCTGAATCTCAGTAACTGAACAGCATCACTTAAAATCTGCAGCAAAGAGTTCTTACTGGGAGCTTGGCATCTTTCGCTCTGTTTGCTGGAGTGTAGATGTTCAGGTAAAGACAGTCTTCTGAAATGTCTGTGATTTCTGAAAGTTTCATACCAAGGGTCTCAAGCATTTCCGGACTAATCGTTCCATATTGAATGCACCTGAAAAAGAGACATTTTTATCAATAAATATAGGAGGCAATTCCTCCAGGTGTGGTGTTCAAACACTGCAGCACATGTGTCTTACATGTGTGGCAGCTTGGTGGCGTCTCTCACTCCTTTCCATCCCTCTACAGGCTGAGGTGGAGCCAGTCTCAGGGAAGGACCTATGGGTGGCTTGGCAAATGGGACACCCAGGAAGGCGTGGACTCCGGTCTCTTTGCCCTTTATACTCACATACTCACCTCTCAGGCTCCCGAGCTTTGTGTGGACTTCAGGTGCTGTTGGGATATTAGAATCAGTCAGAATTATTCCTTCACAACTCAGTCATTTAATTTCAAAATGACAAATACTAGGTGCTAAATGCACTAGGTATTAAGTGCACCTCGTATTCTCCTCCTCCAAATATGCAAATATCTGAATTGTTGCCTTCATGACACACTGGATTTTATAATGTCAGAAGTCACAAAGGTTGGAAATCACTACTTTATTCTTTAATAATGTGTTGTATTTTTAAAACTTATCATATTATCCATTGTGTAAAATAATCATCTTAAAAGCAACTAAAACAGTCAGAACAGAAAGTACAATATTTCCCTCTTAAATGTCGAGGATTGGAAGTGTAACAATAGCAGGTCCTTTACACTTGCCTGCTTCTAACATAACTGATTATTTCTCCTGAATCTGATTGGCACAAAACTGAGTTGGAGGCTACAACTGCAACGGTTAAGTCGTCCCTTGCCGGCTTCCTCTCATGCGTTGATGACTTGGATGACAGCAGCACAGCCTCATGGGTCTGTGAGCAGTCCTCCATTGATGAGTAATCTGGTTTAAACTGTCCACAGACGCCCTCTGCAGCTCTGTCCCCTGCTTCTGATGGTCCTGCTGCATTAGACTCCCTTCTGACACCCCTTGCCTCCTGACCACCACCATCACTCGCCTGTCCTCATCCACCTTTGACATGAAATGCAGATGGCCAACAATGAGGTTGGCGCTACCATGCTGTTATTCATCTGCGAAACTTGCTACTGGCTTGTGCAATTGTTTATTTTGTTCTAATAATTTGCTGCAGTTTAATGGACTTTACTTTCGTGACTCTGGTCCAGATTCCTCCCTGTTCTGTACCAGCTTGAATTAAAAATTACACTGTACTTGAGTCTTTGTTATCTTTCACCTTTGGACACAGTGTGCATGTAGGTAAGAGGCCAGTTTGATTCAAGCCAATGTCATCGTGCAAAGAAATAAGGTTACTTACCTTGCGGTTCTGCCGCAACTCCCACAAATAAAACAGAAATTAAAAAGCAGAAAGTTTGCTTTGCATGGAGCCTCATGGTTTTCTTGGTGTGATCCTGTAAAGAGGAAGTGCACAAAGAAAAACGTTACCCTTTATAAAGCCTTCCCCTCCTAACTGTGACCGATATATGACTGCATGCAAAGATGCAATAAAATCTGAGATATAATAAGAACCAGTAGATATCCTGACCGCTATCTACAACGTGGTTCACCTGTTTTTCAGGTCAGAAGCAAATATCACGTCACTGTTTAATACTTAAGAGCTTTTGGCAACGCCTCTGTGTGTGAAAGGCTAATGGGCAATATAGTGCTACGAAACTAACTGCACTTTTACATAGACGGAAAAGAACTTTAAACCGCTTTCAGAGTCATTGTAGATTAACGGCTCTCTTTGCATTGCAGTCTGCCCTTGGAGCCCTGGTGCACCGCACTGCTCGTTAGACAAACTGCCTTCAAGGTACATAAAGGTTTAATTAAAACAGAAAGATTTGACTCGAAATGCAGATGTTTGTCTTTGGTACCATGACTAAATGAAAAGACAAGTTCATAAAGAGTTGCTAGTAGTTTTTACTATCACTGTTACCTCATTGTTGCTGTAAAATTACAACTTAAAATTTCCCACAAATTATTGTAGCGTGCAACAATTTTCCCTCTGTTCTGATCTGTTTTGATTGCTCGCTTGAGTTCGGTAAGAGACACCACGTCAGACAACATGATCCAAAGGATGCTGTCTATCTCTCTGACTAACTGGGCTGGCAAGAGAAACAAGCAGACAAAGGAAGATGCATGGTGATTGTTGAGTTTCCTCCCCTGTAATCTGTTTATTCGGTTAAGTTTCAATGTAGTCAGACTGATTTCAGGAAAACAAGATAAAGCTTGGTGCTGTGAAACAGACTGCATTACCTTTGGACAGAGCTCGGCTAGTTCTCCCTCCTTTATCTGGTCCTTATCTAATGCTAAGCTAACTCGCTGCTGCTGATAGATTCTATACTGTGCAGATACGGGATCATATCTGATTCGTGGCAAGACGATATAAGAGTTTATATTCTTTTAAACACAACAACATCAACTGACATACAACTGATGTCACTCAATCCTGGTGTATCGAAACATCTGAATAATTGGTGACTGATTATTTGCTGTGCATCAAAAACCGGAGACTGTGGCCACATTGCAAACATTCCTAACAATGGCGAACGGTATTTGACTTAAAAGCAACTGAATACTATCAGAAGGAATAATATTATCCTTGGCCAAATAGGTGTAACAACCAAGCATATATAAAACATTAGGGATATATGATGTGTTGACAGTTGCCAGTAGTAGGTTAGTTATTAGTATAGTGGGTTTTATATTTTTAAAAAAATACGTTTGATGTTGTCAATGGTTTTATGTTTTAGGGAGTTACTGCTAAGTTAGCATATTGCCTGAAAAAATATATTGAATTTTGTTGAGAGTTGTGTGTTAAGTCTTGAAACAGAATGACGTACAATGTTCAATTATTAATATTGTGTGGATAACAGCAACATGTACACTATGTGATAGAACTTTGTGGCTCTGTGCAGAAAACATTAAAGATTACATTCTTAAAAAAGACACAAAATCATGCCAATGCCCTCCACACTTATTATTATTGCCTCAATCAGTCAGATGGGTTTTTTTTTTTGTATATATATCTTGTGTTTTCCAGCTTGGCAATTTTGCCCCACCTGGCCTTAAGTGAGAGTTAGAAGTAGGGATCAAAAAGGACAGGAAAACACACCTCACCCCACCCTATTAAAAAATGAACATGTTTTTCTTGTTGTTCCTTCAGTTGTATGTTTAAGCTTCACTGCAGCAAATGGTGACTGTGCAGAGTTTGACAATAGATGACTGTTTGCACATTAATCAACTGAGAACATAACGTTACTTTAATCCCATTTAAAGAGGTGGGCGTGCAAGCATGATTAATAGCATCCCAACTAGTTTGGAGCTAATTGTGTCCAGTATGTCAAGATGTCCCTCTCTAGCTGTTGATTAAACCTGTAGTTTAATCATTTGTTGGTTTGTATTTTCCATGAAAACAAGTTCTTCCAGCCTTAAACTGTCTTCGATGTCACTCCGCACCGTTGCCTCAGCTCACCTTTGACTCTGTTCAGACTAAACAATGGCAAGCTGTAATATTTGTACAATTTAGCCATATCAGGCTGGAGGCTGTTTCTGAAGAAGAAGAAGAATGATACAGAAAGCTCTACGTTGTAGGTTGGCAGGATTGGTTCTTTGGTTTGTTACTTATGAATCCTTGGAAGTGGGAGTCTGTGTTTTAGAGACTGCTGTGTCCACTTTGAGGGTGGAAATGCTCTGCCATTGCATTAACTGCTTATTCACTCATGATGTGTCTTCTTGGACAAGTTAACAAATTATAAACTGTATTATCACTGGACGGGGTCTTGAAAAAACATGCATCTTGTTAATGTCGCTGTTAAAATTAATCTCAATATTCAATGCATGTTTTCAGCAATTCTAATGTATTAATTATAGTTTTACGGTTTCTTTATTTTTTATTTCAATATATGCACAAACTGATAATGTCTTTTAATACCTGTCAGCAGGACATGATTTAGTGTGTAGTATTTTTTTATTATTATTATTTTTACTTTATATATACAGTACAGTATTTTTAAATGTGTTTCAGCAGAACACTACAGAATTGCTTTAAAGGAAACTTCTTGGGGAGGTTTTGCCCTAGGAGTTATTATATTTTGAACAAAATATGTTAAAATTTAACTTGTGTTTTAACATATTATTTAGACATCCTTAGATTACGGTTCTGTTTTACCAGCATAGTGTCAATATTTAATCTACAATAATGTAGCTAAGACTGACTTAAGATAAGGGTTAAGGTCAGTCAAGGTTGAAAAACGACATTTGTTCAACATGAACGTGAACAAACGCGTTTACATTAACCGGAAATGCAGCGATTGGACTTTGCGGGTGTGACTGAATGACCAGATAAGTTTTCATGTATTAATAAAGTTGTCATGGTTCCATACAGCTTCAAATAACACCTAATAGCGGTTTCGTAGCTTCAGGTCGGTGCTGTAATAATCACACTTTCTTACACAATACTTTCGCTAAATGTACCGTTTTACGCTTTATCGATACGCAACTGTTATATAACGTTTGCTGAAATTACACAGTCCGTGGTGTTTCCAAAACATATTTATATACTTACACCGCTTTACAGAGTCCACCGTTTGTCTGAGTATTTAGTTTGTTTCCTGTTCATTAGTTTTTGTTGATTTCCAGAGACGCAGGAAGAAAAGGAGAAGCGAAAAAAAAAGGACGAGCCAGCCAGGAGTCGAACCTAGAATCTTCTGATCCGTAGTCAGACGCGTTATCCATTGCGCCACTGGCCCGTACGGCGCCATCTACCGTTGGAAACGCAACAAGATCCTGACAGCCAATCAGGTTGCCGAACACTACCACAAATCTACCAAGATATGAGATGACCATCCAGAAGTCGACCTGCTACCAAGAATTGTAAATCAATCAATCAGCTTCCGTTGCACCTACCACAATTTGGCCAATCGCAATGAAAAGTCGTCCCCACGTGACAGAATTCTTTCGGCACAGCATTTTAGTTGGACCTGACATATTCTAGACTCTAGACTTTTAGCATGACACCACTAAATTCACAAATTGAAAACACGAAGTTTATCTATAAACTGGATAGTGTTCCCTCTGCAAATCAAAACATGCTTGTATTTTATCATCTGAAGAAGTTTATTGATCTCTGCAGGAAAATAGTTTTGTTACAAAAGCTCAACACCCAGCCGATAAAATGTGAAACAAATGAGTATAATAATAATAATAATAATAATAATAATAATAATAATAATAATGAGCCAATGTGTAATGAAAGTAAAATAAGAAATACGCAAGATTACAACATACAAGTGCACAAGTTCGAGCGTACAATAAACCGACCTGGCAACCCAGCAAAGACCTACAGCTGAACCCCTGCCTGAAACCGCGGTTGACAGGTCTGAAGAAATCACGTTTTTTCTTTCACTAAATATCATCGTCGTGGCTGGACATGATGCAGCATCGGCATTATGTTACTGAATGACTCCACGTCGTATTAAAATATGTGTCATTTTAATATATGTTATATCCAGCACGATGGAACTGCAACCGGGATGATTCAACATTGTGATTGGGGGAGAGCGTTTGGGGAACATGGCAACCACGAAGCAAAACAGGAAGTGTTTGCAGGCGGGAAATTCGCTTACTGTTATGAAAGCGTTACTACGAACACTGAAAGGTTTTCTTTTCACTGACTGTTATTTCACCAAATTAAATCGAACTGACGATATTAAATGCGGCTCAGCGAGCGATAAGCAGGAATAAGAGTAACGTATAGACGTTATTAGCTTGACTGAGGCTACGACAAACTAGTTTACCAGCAACTTGAGTGGATCATGAGGGCAGAAATGGATAAAATCGTGTCGCTGTCACTTGGAGAAAGTACCGCAGAACTTCAGAAGTATCTGTCCTCAGTCACAAATGACCAAGTAAGTTATTTTTTTGCCATCTTGTCCCGACATAAAGCTCCTCCAGAAAACTCTGTCTGCTTTCTCGAACAGCACTTTATTCTGTTTTCTGCTCTCCAGCTCATCACTGTGATCACTAACAGCGCACTCAAAGGCAAGAAGGTCGGTACCATGATTAAAGGCATATTTAAAGGTAGGTACACAGTGTCATTTACAATTTGTGTGTCTGTTGGTGTCCGAAATATTAGTGTGCGGTTCAAGTGTGTGCTTGTTTTGTTTAGGCTCACCACCCAGTTCAACTGAAGGATCAAAACGCAGACTGCTGGTATATGAACACTGCATCCCTCTGTGTGAGTCTGGAGAACTTCAGACTGAGATGGCAGCTGATATAATTGGACTGCTGATGCTGGAGGTAAAAAAAAAAAAAAGAAAAAAAGTCTAACCTGGTGCTTTTTATAATTGTGCAAGTCACCACTCCAGCAGGATTCTGTGTTTAATAATGGCTGTTCAGTCAGATCGAGTCTTGTTTCTTATGTGTTATGATGTCTGGAAATCTCTCGTTGTTTTGGGGTTTCTTGCATTGTGATTACTATATCCAAATACTGTATAGATACATGAAAGTGATACATAAATTCATATAAAAAGAGATCCAAATAATGCTGTAGAGATGTAGAAAACAATACACAACTACTGATGAATTTAACTGCAGATGAGTGAAATTAATGAAAAAGTCTGACTCCTATATTAGTCCATTAGTCAGACTTTATTTATGCAGCACTGTTAAAATAAATGAAATGTAAAACATAGTGCTTTACAGAGCAAAAGATATTTTAAAAAAAACAATAAAATACAAACAAAAAAACCCAATACACCCCACAAACACAAATGAAAAACTCAATAAGACACAGACTGAGGAAATGCTCTCAGAAATATGTTATTTAGGAAGCAAAAGAGGCAGGATAAATCACCTATCCCAGCTGACTCAGGGTGAAGGCAGGGGACACCCTGGACAGGTCACCAGTCTATCACAGGGCTACACTTAGAGACAGACAACCAAGCACACTCACATTCACACCTACGGACAATTTAGAATCAACAATTAATCTCAACATGTTTCTGGACTGTGTGGGAGGAAGCCGGAGAACCCGGAGAGAACCCACGCTGCACGGGGAGAACATGCAAACTCCACGCAGAAAGATCCCGGGTGTTCTCACTGGGATGTGAACCGGCAACCTTCAAGGGAATATCTTTTGTAAAAAATGTGGTCCCTCTGTTCAATAGAGGTCCAGACACTTCCAGAATTAATGTCAAGGTGCACTGAAACTGTTTTGGTGGCATGTGGTGACCCAACACCTGACTATCACACATTATGTTGATTTATCTTTTAATTTGCCACCAATCTGTATGGTTGTGCATTTTTAGCGCTTCTTGGTTTCTGATCTCGTGTCAGACGTTTCATCTGTTTTTTTAAGAGATTTTACTGTTGCTATCCTGTTTTTTTTTTTGTTTGTTTGTTTTTTTTTATTAAGACATGTTAGCATACTTATCTCATCATATTATATGTCCAAGATGGCACAGATATAAGTTTCTGTCTATTTCTCATTTTGCCTTTTAAATGTCGCATACAGACTCACACACTGTCCGGACCGTCTCTTGCACAACTGGCATCTCTTTTTGTTGACGCCATTAAAGTGGGGAAAATGGGCAGTGGGAAATCCCTGGAGCTGTTTCCAACTGTTCTTACTGCCCTTGCGGCCTGTGACTCTTTGGCTTATGGCAAAGGTAACTGCAAATTACCAACCATGGTAACTTCTTCGTCTAAAGTTCTTTATATCAAATATATCAAAAGATGATGAATCTCCATCTCTTGTGGTTGCTTGATATATTGTTTTAACTTTAGGAGAACTCAGCGGTGAGGAATACAAGAAGCAGCTCATTAACAGCCTCTGTTCAAGCAGGTGGGGGCATCTCAGATATTATTAAAATTAAATTGTTAGTGTATTTACATGTAGATGAGCCAATGTACTCGTAGGTTTTAGTGAATTCTTGACAGTGTTTGAATATTTACTTGCCAATTTATGCCTAAATCCTTATAGATCGCAATGCTAGTATATTTGATTTTGTGTGTTCTTCTTTTTTTAGATGGGACCCGCAATGTGTTATCCATCTGACCACCATGTTTAGGTAACAACTCTCACTGCAAGGCTCACATGCTCTGATATTTTTCAGTTTCCATCAGAATAATGAGAGTTTCCACTCCTTGCCCTTTATTTATTGCGACTGTAATGTTCAGTGAGCTTTTAGAATGTTTCACGATGATGTTACAGCTGCTTTTGTTCTGTAATTTATTTGTGCCTGCCTCATTTTAGGGATGTGCCCTTGTCATCAGAGGAGCTGCAGTTTCTGGTGGAGAAAGTACTGAGGATGTTCACCAAACTAGATCTGCAGGAGATCCCGCCGCTGGTTTACCAGCTGCTGCTTTTATCCGCAAAGGTGTGTGTTTGTGTGTGACATGTTGATTTTTCGGCAGCACTGTTGCTCTTTCTCTGTTAATTATCTAAATGCTTGTCCTGTGTTTTGTTTCTTAGGGTTGTAAGAAACAGGTCCTGGATGGAATCATCAGTTATTTTAAAGAGCAAGATGTTCGCCAGGAAGAAGAGCAGAAACACGGAGAGTGAGTGGTTCATAAACAACAAGCGGCACATGCTGTACACACTCTCAATCCTACTGCACAGTTTCCATTAACTGATTGTTTATTTCATCTTCCTCAGAAGCCTGGATTTAGAAGTTCAGTCCATTCCACAGGACCAGCTCAGGCATGTGGAGGGAACTGCTATCCTCCACATAGTGTTTGCTGCACGACTTGACCATGAGCTTGGGAGAGAATTCCTCAAAAGCTTTAAGGTTATGAAAAAGCATAACTCTCCTGTTTGCTGTTTTAATTATCTGAGACATTTTCATTGCATTTTTAATGTAGCCTGTGCCATAAATCTTTAATTGCGTTTTGCAGACATCATACGTGGACTTGTGTCCTTTCAGCGTTGCCCTGTTGCTCTCAGTGGCACGTATCCAACGTTATGAAGATCAGGTAAGAAATCTATGCCATACGCTTCCTCTACTCATTTGAGTCTTTTTACATTTTTTACTATTTCTTTTCTCATTTCCCTGTTTTGAGTAGGTGTTTGACCTCTTAAAGGGGGCAATCATCAAGAGCTTCAAGGATGAGCAGCTGCAACAGGGGTCAAAGTTCTTACAAGATCTCCTGCCAGGTCACAGTAGTGTGGCTCAGATGATACTGGACACAGTCAAGAACAGGTAAGAGCAACAGAATATCTATTGACCCCTTTCAAAGCCTTCCAATTAAGAATTAGACAATGTAGCAGCTATTCTCTACTCTCCCTCCTATGCAGTGTGTTTGGATGGGATCATGTTACTCAGGGTCTGGTGCAGCTGGGCTTCTTCCTCATGGACACATTTGGACCCAAACCTGGACCCTTTGGCAAGAACACAGAGGGGTCTGCTACTGTAGCCCGAACCCCCACTCAGCAGGCATGCAAGCTGGGAGGACAGGTGCTGCTCCAGGGCTTTAAGGTAACTTTTGGTGTTGATTAGATATAATTAGAACCATCTAAATGTTTGGAAGTGATGCTTTCCTCACCCGAAGATGTGTCTGTTCACGACAGATGCACGAGCCTATAAGAGGGGAGATACTGGAGCAGGTCTTGAATCGACTAGTCACAAAGACGGCCTCACCTGTCAGTCATTACCTGGGTAATGCAATTTTTAGATAGTGGTGCCAGCTATTAAATGTGCAACAACGC